CTTGCGCTTGCCAGGCAGGCGCTTTGCCACTGAGCTAAATCCCCAGCCCTATACTTTTTAAAGAAAATGTGAAAAATATGACAGTTTTAAGGTTGAAGCTGAATATTAGTCTTTATGAAGACACCAGTGAGAATAACAATACATAAAAATTGCGAAGTATTCACTACATAGCAGCTGTTTCTAAGTAGTTAATTATTTCTTTTTCTTTTTTGTGGGGTGGGAGTTGAGACAGGGTCTTGCTATGCAGCTGGTCTTGAATTCACTATGTAGCCCAGGTTGGCCTTGAACTCATGGTAACCCTTGCCAAGCCTCCCTGTGCTAAGATGACATGCATGTCCTACCACGCCTGGCCTAAGTAGTTACTTATTTCAATCCTAATAAAAATCCTGAGATAGCATGATTCTTAGTCTCATTTTTCAGGTGAAGAAACTGAGGCATAGAGAAGTAATTTACCCAAGGTTATGTAGCTGGTGAATTGCAAGGCTGGGATTCAAATTCTAGTAGTTTGGTTTTGGAGCCTGTGCACCTAATCATATGATGTTCATCAGTGATTTAATACAGTTGATAATGCTTTCCTGGTAGCTTATAAGTGCTTTAAAAGAAAATGAAGAAAATATAATTTTCTTTCTTTTGCTTATGTACAAATTTAACAAAAAGTTAATACTTTATGCTGGACTTCAGTGGAAAATAATTATGATATATTTCACCATGCATTTAATATGTAGATAAACTATATTCATATCTGTCATATCCATATGTTCAGGTATCTGGCTGTTTGCAGAGAAGGTGACATACACAGTAAGTTGGGTCTTGTGCCATTTAATTGAGGTGATCAAAAAGACGGCCTTCCTGCCATGTCTTTGTTCAGTCCATGCTGTTTGCTTAGTTAAAATAAATGGTTTGCATATTGGAGAAAACAAACACACACATACTCTGAACATATTTAGGGCAGCACCTGAGCTGACTCATCAGAAAAAGGCAACATGCTCTTGTTGTATGCAATTGGCCAGCGGTATGCAGGGCCTGTGTTTGGATTGTAGAGTGGACAGAAAAGTCCATTCTAGGCCATCAACTGAAGATACTCAATGGTCTGTGTGACCAGTGCCAAACTGTAAGGTCAGGGAGGGCCGAGCCTACTGCCTAGAGAGCTTAAGGGGAGACATCAGCAATTTCATTTTTTTATACTGGAGTTTGAACCCAAGGTTTTCCCACTAAGCTACATCCTTAGCCATTTTTTAAAAATTTTGGGACAAGATCTTACTAAATTGCTAAATTTCTGAGGCTGCAGGAGGCTGAGGCAGGATGATCACTGTGCGTTTGAGGCCAGCCTGGGCTGTGTAGTGTGTTAAAGGCCAATGTCAGTTACAAACTGAGTTCAAGCCCAGCCTGAACTACAAAGTGAGACCCTGTCTCAAAAAAGACAAAAGAAGAAAAAAGAGTAAATTTCCCATGCTGACTCACACTTGCCATCATCCTGCCTCAACCTCACAGAGTGCTGGCATCACAGGCAGGCATCACTACGCCCGGCTAGCATTTGTTACTTCTGTCTTTCTTCCTCATTTACACAAGCTGGAGATGCAGCGTAGCCTTGAAATGAATTTCCAGATACTGTGTAATGGTCTCGCATGGGAAAAAGCTTCTCATCAAGTGTGTAAAGTTGGACACGGTAGCACATAGCTATAATCCCAGCACTCCGGAAAGCTGAGGCAGAAGGAAAACAAGTTCAACCCCTGTCTGGGCAATTTAGTAATTTAGGGAGACTCTGTCTCAAAATAAAAGAGGCCGGGTGAGTATATAGTTCAGTGAGGAGACCCTGGGTTCAATCCCCAGTACCAGGGGGAGGGAGGGATGTTCATGAAAAGAGTAGGATACAAAACCTACATGGTTTAATTTTGATTTTGTTAAGAGAACACATGCACAAGAGTGAGGCAAAACTCTACTAAATGTGCTTTTAAAAGATAATAGTTTGAGGCTGGAATAGACCTTTTCCAAAGAAGCTGAATATTGTATTACAGTGTACCCTTCTTCCAAATTCCAGGAAGGAACGTCTTGTAGAGCCCACAGAGACTTTTTGTATGGCTCTGTTCTGTGCTCAGAGAAACACTGGTCCTGTGGTCTCCTGGGGGTCCCATGCATTGTCCCAGGTGGAAGTTTATAATCAACTCCCCAGAGCCCAAGTTTCTACAGAACATCCAAGCTACCACGTGGCAAAGGGGAGTACTGTTATTATCTTGTTCATATATATGGGCTTTTCCATAAGATTTGTTTTCTTTTCCATAGGGTTTTATTTTTTTCCTTTGAAAAGGATTTAATTACTTAAAATAAGCAAAGAATGGTCTGTTCTAACTCTTCTCTTATTGTATTGAAACTCACGGTGGAATAAACTCACTCAAGGTCACCATCAAGTTCTTATAAGAATTGGAGCAAGTGCTCTGGAAGGACAGACCAGGCTTCCCAACGTCCCCCCACCTCAGTCCCTATGCCCCAGCTTGGGTGTGGCATTTCTGGTCATCTGAACGTAACTAGTGGTGGTCTTTTCTCCTTCCTGATGGTAAAGAACTGTTTGTTTTTTTTCCACCTGCCCACAGGATCATCAGGACAAAAGTACAGCAGCCTCCCAACCAGCCAGTCCCAGCTTCCAGTCACAGCATAGGTAAGAACTTTTAAAAAAAATTTGAAAATCTAATGGGCTCCGTGTATTCTAAAGCACTTTTAATCATTCATATGGACAGATAATTCTGCATAAAACACTTCGGCACACGTACTAATGCGCTTTCTTTGTCATTCTCCAAGGGCTGAACCCGGTAAATGAATTTTATAAATACTGCTAAAAGGTTTTGAATTTTACTGATTATTATGATAAATAGCTTTCACCATGAGACAGAAAATTGAAATCTAAGCCAAAAAAAATCCACTAATGGGGGTCTATAGAATGTCAGATAATTAAAGTAATAAATCAAGAAAGGGATACTTATTCATAACATTTTCTGCATCATTAGTCAGTAAGTAGTTTTGAATGTGTTTTTTTCTTCTATCAACCAGACCTCTACAATTCTTTGTGCACTTGCAGTCTTGAGTGAAGATGAGGCAAAACTTTCCTAAACTTTCTTTCTCTCTTTCTCTCGCTTCGATCTCATGTACTCTGTGAACTGCCAAGGGCTTCCAGTGGGGTTTCTGACACTCACAGATAAAGTCTGAGTGACCACGTCTTGCTGTTAAATGTAACTCTGCCCAATAATGAACACTAAGCCCCTCTCCCATTACTCAAGAGTACAGATATTTTCTTTGCCTCCTCTTCAAGGGCGAGTTGAATGACGTGTCTACTTAAGGCATATTGTCCAAGGGGGGAAAGTTATTCTGCTACAAGAAAATAGGTAACCTTTTTTAGGCAAGCCTCTCACAGTTCTGGTGAATCTGCATAATCACACTTCAGATTGTATTCACCTTCATCTGTGCCACTCTTCTTTTACTAAAAACGTGAATTTCCCGTGGTGGCGAGGGCTGGCTTATAGTTCCAATTCCATCCTTAATTCACCAGTGGATTGTGAAAACGCTTTTACCTCTGTGAGCCTCAGTTTTTGGTGGATAAGGACCGCAAACCGAGGATTCTGAGATCTCTGATCCTCCAAGCTTGTTTCTTTTGACAAAGGTAACAAGGAATTCCTTGCTGCCACGAGATGATTCTTCACTAAGTATGATCTTCACTAAGATGATACTTCACTTTCATTTTTGGAAAATTGTTTGCTAACCTGCCCTGGGCAGACAAATGGTGACATTGGAGACCAATTCTACAAATGAGTTTGGATAAAATCCCTGTCCTCACCAGCTTCCGGGTCTGTGGGGGATGTAATGAAGAGAAGTTTGCAAAACACTGACATGAAGTCCAAGAAGAAAGTGCGAGCACTAAGAAGCAGAAAGGAGGGAACCACCAGCTAAATTGAGCTGGGGTGAAAGGGCTGAGGAAGACTTCCTGAGGGGTTGGTATTTGTGGCTGAGATGTCATTTGTGGCTTTAACTGTTTCAGGCCCCATAGCAGTGAAAATCAGACTAGCATTAGTCGATACTACTCTTTGAATAGGTTTAAGGCCCTAACTCTATTGTAGGTCAGCAAAACAGTTTGTTTTGCCCCAGATTTTCTTTTCCAATACTGGGGATTTAACCGAGGACCTTTGCACTGAGCTACATCCTCAGCCCTTTTTATTTGTTTCTTTACTTATTTATTTAGACAAGGTCTCAATAAGTCACTAAGTTGCCCAGGCTGAACACAAACTTGCAATCCTCCTTCCTCAGCCATCCAGAGTGCTGGGACTATATGTGTGTACCATCGTGCCTAGCTCTGAGAAATTTTTACTAAAACTATGTAGCCATGTATACAGCCTCTTATAGTAGATGAACTTATTGAGCAGTGAGAAAAATGAAGCTTAGGGAGATGAAATAAGTAGTTTAAGGTCCTGTTTACAGGGAGGGCTGGAGCCAGAAATGGAAGCTGGGTCTTTTGAGCCCAGTGCACTCACGAAATACCCAACCAGGTGTCCTGAGCTCCACCAGTGCCGTGGCGGGCCAGGCTTGCCAGTGGCTGTTACTGTCTGAAGTACAAGTGATCTTCTTCCTCTGTTCTTTTCATGTGAACACAGAAAAGGTGGTAAGATTTGCATAAATCTATTTTGAGAAGCTTTTTCTGTGAAGGAAAAGAGAAGTTAATGATTTCTGCCTCTGTGTCTCTTAAGGAAGATCTGAGATCAAACTCAGATACAAGAAGAAGAAAGGTACTGTGCCCTCTAGGTCCATAGGAGTGAGGCACTGGACCCAGTCTAGGGAAAGTAACAAACAGCTTCTCATACGGTCACCACCCCTGCTAGTAATTCCCTACACTTCAGAATCCGGAGCAGCCGCACCACTTCGAGCCAGTTACAGTCCAAGGAGGTGTTCTGAGATGGGTGGGTAGGATTTAATGAACCAAGAAAGAATTCCCACAGCCCTTAAATGGAATCCAGCTGTCCAGCTGGAGATGTCCCTGATGAAGACTGCTTTCCCTTAGACTCCGGATGTGAGTCAAAACGGAACTTGGCTAAAAATCCCCTCCCCCTTTTTGTCCTTAGGGACTTAGAGACCTGGTCTCAGGAACAGTATCACTGACTTCTCCCCACAGGGGAAATCTAGGCTTTGAGTGAGTAATGCCCTGGGGCTACTAAATTCAGGTGCTGTGGTTTATCAGCTGGATGACTTTGAATCACTTCGTCTTGTGGAGCCTCAGTTTCCTCATTTGATAAGTGGGGAAAAATAATAGTTCTCTGGACTGTTCAATCATCAAATGAAAAATATTGTGGTAACAAAGCATATTATTGTTCTTCCTTATGAATTAATGAGGAGCAGATTAGTTTTAGGAGTTAAGACCTTATCACTAGTTTTCTATCACCAATGTCTCTTTTTTTTTTTTTTTTAATTTTTGAGACAAGTTCTCACCAAAGTTGTCCAAGCTAATCTCCAATCTGGGATCCTCCTGCCTCAGTCTCCCAAGTAGCTGGGATTACAAGGTCTACTCTATCTCTTATTAACTGTGACTTTGGGTGAGTCACTTATCTTATCCTTGGTTCCATTACCTTTCTAATGGGGTAATAACATCACCTAGTTTGTAAGATTCTTCTCAGAATTAAATGAGATAATGCCTCAATGCCTGGCATAGAATGTTCTCAAAAAACATTAGGTATCATATTATAATTAATATAAAAAATAAAATCCAAGTAAGCTGGCAGGAGAAGAGACAATAAGGAGCTCTAAAAAGATACAACCTGCTGTTTGGCCACCTGGGAGAGAGCATGTGCGACTGTATGTCTTGTGCATGGATGGGCTCAGAAGCAGGACGGATCCTATCTCAAGAGCAGGTCTGCATCTCTTCATCGCGCCTCTTTCACTTCTCCATTCCCTGCTGGCTACACCCTTGCGCTGGTTGGATTTGAGCAAGTACCTTCTACTCCATCCCTGAGTTCCCTTCTGTGTGGCCGGTCTTCTTTGCTGCCCAATTCCTGTTATCTCCCCTGCAGCACAGAACCTGGGCAAATGGCTGAGGCTTATGCAGTGGTTGTCACATGCAAAGGATCTTCGGCCGGCACCCTCGCTTTTGCCAGAGTTGCCCTCAGCCCAGAGCATGGCGTGCACCTTTGTGACAGGTTGCCCCATGCCACCACCCTTCCGCCTCTTTCTAGCCCTGACTGCCCCTCTCCCTCTGTGCAGTGTCCACGGGCTCTGTGACACAGGTGTCGTCGGTGAGCACAGACTCAGCTGGCTCTTCATACTCCATCAGCGGCATCCTGGGCATCACGTCCCCCAGTGCTGATAACAACAAGCGCAAACGAGATGAAGGTAAGAGATGGCCGTGTGGCCACATCGAGGATGGGTCCAATGGGATGGCGACTGCTCGGGGCGTTTAGTGAGGGTGGAAGCAGAGGTGCCCACTTAGCACCCTCTTATCTGCAGAGGACCAGAGGCACCCCCCCAGCCTTGTCCTTTCCAAGGGGACCAGGTGGGGCAGACAGGCACCTCTCTAGGAGCGTGGGTTGTTTGCTAGTCTCTCATCTTGGCCCTTTGTGGAGAAAGAGGCTTAGCAAAGCCCTTGTGGCCTGAGCTTTATGACCTTTAAGAAGACCCTGTGTGTACAGATGGAACACCTGAAATCCCAGCGTGTGGATGGTCTAACACAGCGCCAGTGTCCCTTGTGTGGGGGATGGTGGAGAAGAGAGAAGGGGGCTGGTGGGAGCACTACCAGCCTGTCCTGCAGCGAGGGGCACCTGCTGGGGATAGAGGGGTGGCCTCTCTGAGGGGCTGGGCATACTTCTCAGGAGAAGGCCTTGAGCTGTAGTGATGGTGGAGGGTGGAGGAAACCAATAACCATCACATTTTTGCCTTTGGACCTGGAAGGAAGAAATGTAGGGGCCTCTCGGGGATTAAAGATGACAATCTTACCAGTTGGTTTTTCTCTGCACTTTGGTGTTCGGGGCACTGCCTGGGCCTCTGTGCTAGACACATCCCGCCTTAACCCAGGTCTCCTTGCTCCAGATGGGCTGCCAGTGTGGCTGACATTAATCGGTTTGAGAGGAGAAGCGACCCCCTGGGAGTCTGTAAAACCTTAGTCAGGAAAGGAAAAAGAAAAAAAGGGCTGTGGTCTAAGGCCTGAGAGCAGCGTGACAGAAATCTTGATTCAATTATTCTGTTCCTCGGTGCAATTCCCTTTCTCAGCTCTGTGAAAGGGATGTATGTTCTCGTGAGCACATGCCTAAGTACTTAAGATCTGTAACTAGAAAATTGAGTCGGCCCCGTGGTGGATCTGTGTGTGGTCTGCGTGTTCCAGGCAGTATAGAAGCTGGGCCTGTGGCTTCTGCTTGCAGCTGTGGGGGTGTGCGCCAATGATTCCTGGCTTGTGAAACCTCCCTCACCTCTCTCCCCTGCTCCTGACAATCCTGAGCAGATGTCAAAAGTGTTTAACTCAGTGGGTGGCTGTGCCTAGCTGCTGTGGGAGGCAGTGGGCCTGCCATCTCTGTTGGTTTATGGGGCTGATGATATCATCCTTTTTCCTTTTATCACGTGGACTCGCTGCAGATGTGCCAAGCAGGGACCTGGCTGTGTTTGATCACGGCAGAGGAATGGTTTACATGAGGCTCACTTGGAGTCGAGGGAGAAAAAAAATCCAACCTAGTTTTGCTCAGCGTGACGGTGAATGCCTTTAATTCCAACCGTTTGGGAGGCTGAGGCAGGAGGATTGCAAGTTCCAACCCAGCCTGAACAACTTAGCAAAACCCCGTGTCAAAATAAAAAATAAAAATGGCTGGTGATGTAGCTCAGCGGTAGAGTGCCCCTGGGTTTAATCGCTGGTATTGAGAGCAAAAAGCAAAACCAAAGAAACCAGTGTTATATATGTGGCCACAGACAGATCCTGAGGTGGGGGATTGCTTATGGTGTTTGTGGAGTACGGTATTGGCTCACTCTCATCAGTCTTCACTATTTTGCCTCTCTAGCTGCTTTTATTTATTTAGAGACAGGGTCTTGCTATGTATTCTCAGGCTGACCTCAAACTTAAGGCCTTAGCTTTCTGAGTGCTGGGAGTATAAGCATGTGTACCATAGCCGGCTTTCAAGCTGCTTTTGAGTATGTAAAGTAGCCACAACATGGTTGGTGTTAGTGTTGGCTACTCTCTGCTGGTCATATCTTTCCCTGGGGACTGTGGCCCATTTGGGGTACTGATCTCTAGAAGGGGCAGTGACAAATGGGGTTGTGTTCAGGTGAGCATAACCTGAGTGGAAAGAGATCTAGATACAGCACCTAGGGAATGTCTCAAGGCTCCAGGCATGTTTTAGCACAAAGAAGAGCAGAATAAATAGACTAGATTATTGCCTTGTATAGATAGGCGTGGAAGGAGGGAAGAATTGGTTTGTTGTGTGGCCTGATGGACAAGTGTATGGCAGATGCAGAGATTTCAGCTCAGTGTAAGAAAGAATCTGTACATATGAAAGTGGTCTAGGGATAATGGGGTACCTTGGGAGGTAGCGAGTGCCCTATCTCTAGGAGTATGTAATCAAACTAAATGGCACTTGGCTATGTTGCTATACAAGAGTATCTAGAATCAGATGTAGAATTGCATAAATTTTACAATCTTTCTGGTTCCGAAATTTCTAGTAGAGTTCTAATCCCCAGTGAGACATGGAGGTGTTCCAGCCTGAGGCCTGTTTGCTAATGCGGAATGCCTCGATGGTTTCGGCACATACAGAATGGAGAGGGAGCAGGAGCCAAGCAGCCGCCAGAGGCTCCCCTCACTCCTGCACACCTCACGGAGAGTGTAGACAGTGGAGCAGAGGTGGGCAGAAGTGCCCTGGCTCGGGTCACGGAAGTGTCTGGTGAGAACTGTGTTGCACCCCTCCTGTTCTTTCCATCCTCCCTTCTCTCTCCTTGGGTCCTGCACTGGCTCTGTAGGGAGGTGAAATGGCAAAGATTGCCATTCTCTTTTTTTAGGAGAGGTAATCGAAGCCCCAGAGAGTTCTGTGACATTGGCAAAGCTACACAGCTGGTGTGGACAGGGAATCGAGAGGAGTAGGAGGGGGCCTTGAAGCCTCTGTCCCCTGTATGTCTGGCTGTCCTGTCTGTTGTCCCTCAGCTCCTCCAGGCTTTTTGGAGGTGGAGCACTGTGGGATGGGCTGGAATTTCAGCTGAAGGGTTCAGTGATTAGGCTGGATGCTGCCAGGGGGCAGTGAGGTGAGATCTGGAGGGTACGGGGTTGAGGAGAGCAGAGGAAGGAAGAACTGGCCACTGGCAGGACACCAAAATGGCTGGCTACACTAGCAGCTGGTCCAGTGAAGCTGCAGACCATAGATTTGTGAGGGTGCTGGCTTCCAGGATGGTACTGTTTTTCTCAGGAGCCCTCAGCAGCCTGAGGGTTGAGTCATGGGGTGACAGAGGTATTAGAAGGCCAAGAGGAGCAGAGGAAGACAGCTGAGGGTATCACCCCATTTCTCAGATGGGGTGACAGATGAGATGGCTGAGGCTTCTCAAGGCAGAGTCTCCAGCTCAGCTCCCTGGTGAGCAGTCATCTCCGGCTTGGTCTTGGGTTTTTGCCCTGTGGGAATACCCTGCCATTCTCACAGGCAGACCTCAGCACAAGGGTGGGCAGGGTTAGGGCCCAACCACAGATGATGGCCTGGAGGTCAAGATCACAAATCCAGAGTCCCTCTGATGGGTAGTGAGGTAACACCAGTGGGAGGGGCAGGTGGGGGTGATCTTTGATCCAAAGAATCTGAGATGGCTCCTCATAGGAGGTGACAGTGGAGGATGGGGTAGGGGGAGGTGATAGGATTCCAGTCAAAGGCAAGAGAGAGTGGGCACATGGCAGGACCAGCATGTAGGGCTCAGAAAGGAAGAGAGGTGGCAAGAGAGGCCAGGGTGGTTTGGAATTGACCCAGCCCTGACTCTTAGTCTGAAAGCAATGGGGAGATGGCTTTGATGATTTTAGAGACTCAAGAGACGTGTGCTGTGGCCAGGCATGGTGTCATAGGCCTTTAATCCCAGGTACTTGGGAGGCTGAGGCAGGACGATCAGAGATTTGAGGCCAGCCTGGGCAACTTAGTGAGACCATGTCTGAAAATACAAAAGGGGCAGGGAGTAGCTCAATGATAGAGTGTCCTGGGTTAGATTCCAAGTACTGAGAGAAAGAAAAAGAAACCGAAAGAAAAGAAACACGTGGCATGTTGAGTAATTTGGATATTAAGGTGGGTGTGAAGGTGATTAACTCAGAAGTACCCAATAAAAACAGGGTACAAGCTTCACATGTAATGTAAACTTTTCTAATAACCATGTTACACAAAGCAAGAAAAAACAAGTGGAATTAATTTTAAGAATAAAATTTAATTAGTCCAGTATACCCCCAAAAGATTATCATTTCAGCACGTAATCAGTATAAAAATGTGATATGATTTTTCCCTTTTCTGATACTGTCTTTGAAATATGTGTGTATTACACTTATAAGACATCTGAATTTAAATGCTAAACATTTGACAGTTGAAGTTAAGTGTAGTCAGTCCTATCAAAACAATAGAGTTGCGGTTAGTGGAAAAATATTTTCCATGGCTTCTGTTTTTAAATTTAAATCAGTTACAATGAATTGAAACTAAAGTTTTAGTTCCTCAGTTGCACGAGGCCCCATTTCAAATGCTCAGTAGCCACCACAGTCTAATGGCTACTGTACTGTATTAGACAATACTGAGTTCACAGTAGGTGATCAGTAAATGCTCCTCGGTGGAATGATCTCGCTCATGCTTTTAGAGTTATACAATTAGTGGTGAGGGTGAATGCGAGGCTGCCAGTCCACACACAGTCCCATTGAGGATTGCTGTAGCACAAACAGACAAACTAGAAAACTGTCAGACGAGCAGACTGACAAGGACCTTTTGGACTGGAAATATTGTCGGTTTCTTTCCAGGTTGCCTGTAAGACTAGACTTGGGGATGTGGCCCCTTTGTCCAAATCTCAGATGAACTGTTTGGTGGTTGAAGCAAGAAGTTCAGTCCTTGTGTAAAGGCAGAGCCGGGGCTGCTTGAGGGAAGCTGAGAGTAAGGTACAGCTTCTGAACAACAATCCAGGCTGAGCCATAGATACGATTACCTTGGAATGGTAGTGAGCTCCCTGTCACCAGAGGTATGAGCAGAGGCTGAACAAATGAGAGCCAAAAGAATCAAAGAAGGCAATCTGGCTTGGGCATCATGACTTGTGAGGCCTTGGACAGTGTGGGTAGCAGGTGCTCCTGTGAGCTCTGCTGTGCTTGGTGGTTCTTCCCACTTATTTTTCCTCCTGGTGCCTGGCCTCAAGTCTACCATTCATGT